GGGGTGAATTCCCGAGATGCGCCTTGCTCTCTATTCCCAGCACCCAGATCTGATACCTACCGATGATGGGCATAGTGAGCACCTCCGCACATGCCGAGTAGTTTTAGAATATCCACTCGTACCGTCTTCTTCTCACGAGAAGACGTGCCTCACCTCACTTGCACCTCTTGTCCTGCCCCTCCGAAGTCATAGAATCACGGAATGGTTTGGGTTGAAAGGGACCTTAAAAGACCATCCAGTTCCACCCCCTGCCATGGGCAGGGACACCTTCCACTAGACCAGGTTGCTCAAAGCCTCATCCAGCCTGGCCTTGAACACTTCCAGGGATGGGACATCCACAGCTTCTCCGGGCAACCTGTTCCAGTGCCTCACCACCCTCTCCGGGAAGAACTTCTTCCTGATATCCAATCTAAACCTCCCCACTTCCAATTTAAACCAGTTACCCCTTGTCCTGTCACTACAGACCCTTGTAAAAAGTCCCCCCCAGCTTCCTTGTAGCCCCTTCAGGTATTCAAGTACTTCATCCTCAAGTCTCCTTCTTCACAATCTGCCATCCAATGCTGAGGGCTCCCAAGTGCTGCCCACAAACTTCCCTTCTGGAAAAACATTCATAACCCCAGTTCTCTGCTTTGAATGAATCAGGAAACTGGATGTGTTGCCATATTCTCTTATGACATCTGTCCCCGAGTCTCTTTCATTTGGCTGTCGAGGTTTTCTGTTGGATTTATACTTGGCTGCTCCATGGATAAGGAGGCTATTTTGTCTGGAAGAGATGCTCTGTAATGGCATTCATTTTCTGTACCATTCCCAGAAGGTCCCCCTCAGTAGTCTGGATGTGCATGCTCACATCCAGCGCATGCTAAATCTTCATGTGGCTGTTGATAGTTTTATTCACAGGGAAGGAGTGAGTCGGTATGCGTAGCTGCGCTCCGTTCTGTAACAATGCATGCGCTATGGGGCAGGGAGGACACACGGCCAGAAGGATTTACTCTCTCTCACTGGTGAAACTCTCTGGGGTTTTTTTGCAGGCTTGTCCAGGAGGGAGACATCCTGTGTGTTCCAACGTTTGGATATGCCGAGTTCTTAGAAGTAAATGCAGACAAATTCCTAAGGTAGGTGGCAACAAACTGTGGCTCAGTTGCATGGGTACTGCAAGAGAAAAGGTACTTTTCCACCACAGACGCTCTCAAAGAGAGAAGACAGCTTCTCCCATTCTGATCTGTCCCTGGAGTTCAGAGTTTATTTGCCGCTTATTTTAGGGGGAAGAGGGAAATGCTTTTGTTGGAGTACAGAGGGCTGCAGCTAAGAGGGAGAACTCCCTTAGCTCACTCCATTAGTCATGGAGGGAAGAAGGAAAAAAGGGAGAAATAAACTGGTGGGGAAAAAGAACAAAGAGGAGAAGGGGTGGCCTGAGGACAACCAGTGCCACATAAAGAAGGCAAAGTGGAAGTGGGGCTTGTCAACGTGTGACAAACAACAGGCTGGGAATATAAGCCCTTACAGTTCATGATAGAATATCTTTCTGCTTTGTATTGGTTTTGCTCATGCAGCTTTGAAACAGCTCTGAGCTAAATAAGAGACATTCACCTTAGTATCAGAGTGCTTGCAGCGGGATTTTTGGCTGGTGTTAGTGTAAATGCTTCAGCTGCGTCGCGGAGGGAACTGCCACTGGTGACTTGGCAATGCAAAGAATTGCCTTGAATTGTTCATGCAGGACGTGCCAGCGACATGTAACGCTGCTCAGGTCCGCTATGCATTTTAAAATTCAATAGTTTTATAGCACTACAACGATGAGCATTGTCTAAGCAGTTCCTCGGAGGGAGGCAGGACCGTAGGAGGCATGAATCTTCTGTCCGTGCACTGGTATGTTAGCCGTGTGGCACGCACGCCAGAGAAGACAGCAGAGTTCGTGGGACCTAAAGAGCTTGGAACTGTGTTGGTGTGCAGGTGGTGCAATTATTCAGAGGTTGGAGGAAATCCTGAAGGAGACCTCTGCAGATCCCTTAACCTGTCCAGTGGGATATCAATGTAGGAAGAAGTGCTTTTCCTGTGAGGTGTCCAGGGCAGGATCCTTGTGAGGCTGTCATGGTATTTGGGCGAGTCCTAATCTGCAGCCTAGAGAACTCTGCGCTGCAAGGTTTTACACGCTGCAGGTGAGTCTCTGCGGCGTTGTAGTGAAGGAAGCGATGGCAGAAGAGGGAATGTCTTGAGCTCTTAGAGGGAATAAGGTCAGTACAGCTGTATTTGTGGGCTGAAGCCACCAGCGGGAGCTGTAACTGTTGACAGTCCCGTCGGTCTCTCTGGCCAGGCTGCACGGGCAGGTCCGTAAAGGATCCGTGTGGGTCCTGGGAGAGGACAAGAGTATCTCTGCTTAGCTGTGCCTTTCTGCTGTCTTCTTGTAGACAGCTGGATTGTTTCTGGCTTCAAGATCTTGAGTCAGCCATTTAGACTGTGTGGTTTTTTTCCCCTTAGATGGCCAGAGCTTTACTTCAAAGTGAGGAAGATTGTGGGCACGGTGGAAGGCGAGCAGTCTGAGGGTTACCTGGTGGACACCCAGAACAGCTCGCTCTATCTGGTAAGATGTCAGTGAAGAGCAGGGAGGATGTACAAGAGATCAGAGGCTGAGGTGATGGATGATGACGGTGCCCGTGGAGGCTTGTGTTGAATGAAAATGACATTTTGGGACAGACTGCCACGTGGTACGTGTCATTTCTCAGGTGGTGTTCCACAGGGTGCTGCTTTCCCTTCATCACAGGTGGGTTCAACAAACAGCGCTGTCCCGTCTGCCCCAGCCTACAACAGCCACGAGTTCTGGAGCAGTTTGTCTCCTGCTGGACTTTCTGATGTTGTGAAGCAGCTCTGTGATGCTCTTCGGCCTCACCTGAACGCTCGGTGAGTTAGAGTTCCTTCTAGCAAGCGCCAGGAGAGCTGGGACCTAGAATTCCTTCTAGCAAGCCCCAGGAGAGCTGGGACCCTGCTCCCTGGTGACCAGGAGAACTGCCTCTGTGTTACAGGGCAAGTGCACTGAGCGGGGCTGGCAGCGTTCTCCTCGTGGGACCAAGCGGCAGTGGGAAACTGATGGCTGTCCGAGCTGTGTGTAGCTGCCTCAACCTCCACCTCTTCAAGGTAATTCCTCCTGCAGTCAGTTGAGCAGTAGATTTACAACATACGGAGAATTACGGAAACGTTCTTTAAGTCAGCCGTACCAGCGCCGCTGCCACAACCGTGACGCAAGCCTACCCAGAACCCTCTCCCAGGCGTGGACAAGAGGAGTCCGAGTATGCCGGGCTTAGCGGCTCGCTCTGGCGTGGGTTGAGGCTGCTGGTGGGCAGAACCTCAGAGCAGCTGTTTTGGATCAGCCCGAAGACCGAAGCTCCGTCTGGCCCTCTGGCCCTGTCCGAGGCTGGCCAGTACCAGCTGCTCAGGAGGAGAGCGTAGGGGTGAAGAGATGTTTCCTCTGGCACGTACCCTCCTGTGTGAGCCGTCACAGGCAAGACACAGGAACAACCACAGGACCGCGAGTGAAATGCAGGGAGCAAGTTGATTCTCATTACCTCGCGCACTGGGGGATCCCCAGAGCAGCACCGGGGCAGAGGCACGCAGGCGGGAACACGGGCACCGCGGCGCTCGGTCCTTGCTACAGGATCACCGGACCCGCAGTTTTGGCCGGTTTCAAGGGTTTGCGCAGGCGTCGTGTGTCACCGTGCTGTCATCTTTCCCACAGCAGGGCAGGAATCTCGAGCGTCTTTAGGGTGCCTCCGAGTCTATCGCAGGCCTGTGTTACCTAAACACAGATGTTCTGCTTGGCCAACATGCAAGGCTAAACAACAATTAGTGTGATACATGTGTTGTTCTGCACCCCAGCTGCAAGTCACTTGGGCGTGTTTACAATCCTCCTCACCAATCTTTCGTTATTTTCCCACACGTCCAGCGCTCCGGAATCGATAATTTAGACATCTCCTGGCCCAGAGGGTGCATTTATGCCTTTCTTTAGAGTCTCTTGCTCTTATTGCTGTCAGCCTGATGTACTTTACAGGTGCCACAACGCACAGTAGTATTTCAGCGGGCTGATTTCCTATCATTTGATAGGCGTTGAGGGTGGCAGTAACTAAAGTGTACTGAGAGAAACCGGAGAGGTGACGAGGGCAGGAATTGCAGTGGCATTGTGTGTTTTCCCTTGCCCCTGCATAGGCTGGGCAAAAGGCATGTTGGAAAGTGAGGCAGAGGTGATGCTGAGGTGTTCTCTGGCTGGGTGGGAAGCCTAGAAAAGAAATGCAGCCCTTGGTTTGGTAACAGCACGTGTGCCACATCTGGGTCTAAATCTCATGGCCGGTAACTGTGTTCACATTCACTATCTCCCCCCCATTCCTCCAATAGTGAAAAAGCACCCAGATCATAAAGCCCCCAGATCATAAAGCCCCCAGCCATAGCCCTGCTTGGCTTCTGCAAGGGGTCCAGCCTAAAACTGAGGCTTCTTTAGAAAGACAGGCCAGTTGTGGTCTCCCCGTCGCAGAAGCATAATGCTGAACTGGAACATTTCAGAGGAGGACACTGGGGAAGATCGAGGGTCTAGGCCAGTTTTTGTGTGGTGAACTGCTGCACAGGCTCTTCAGCTTGAAAAACAGGGAACTTAAGGAGAGTTTGAGAGACATTTACAGGATCTGGAGTGGTCAGCAGAGAATGGGGAGTACTCACTTTTCTCTGTGCCAGCATGAGGCCTGGGGCTGTCAGGTGAGACTAGTGAGAACAGCCAAGCTAAAGGAGGTAATTCTCTGTGTAGGTAAGAGTCTTTAGAGGAAAAATCTGTTGTATGAAACCACATCTGACCGGGCAAATCCCTTTTGGTGGGAATGGTAGGTTCCCGGAAGAGTACTGAGGTGAGAGGGTGTTATGTGTGCTTACCCTGATCTTACTCTTTCTTAAGCAGCCACTTGTGGTCATGCTTGGAGACAACAGAGTGGGCTAAGTAGGCTCCTGGTCTGGACCAGTACAGCCATTCCTAGGCTCTTACTGGGTAAGCTTCATGGCCAGAATGAGGTCTGGCTCCTGCCCATCCGGCTCCAGAGGGTCTGGGCACCGAGGCAGTCCTTGCTGACTTGGTAACAATGCCTTCTGCATGCTTGTGGTGTTCACTCTGACAGTCTGGGTTTATTCTACACATTCTTTAACCTGCTTGATTCTGTAGAGTTACGTTTGCAAAAGTGTGGGGATTGGGAGTCCCTTGGTGACTTTTCTAGGAGAGTTTCCGAAACTCTGAATGGACTTGGGGGAAGAAAGATGGAAAGAAGAGAGCTGGAAGGAAAACGTAGGCCTGCTCCTTTTTTGTGGGTATTTTTCAAGCAAACTCAGAGAAAACAAGCCAAGCATTTTGGATGTTTGGGGTTTCTTCTTCTGTTCAGAGGTTGGGTCCTGTGGAGTTGACATTGCTCTCTTTAACCATTCTTTTCTGTCCAAATAAAGCCGTAACTGTGGGTCAGTGGGGGAGGTCGATACAGCCTTCAGCAGCTGCTGTGCAGCTCCTCTCTGGACATGATCCCTAGTACTGCTGAGCTCTTTTGCGGATGAGCCGTTGCTCTTGGGACCCGGTAGAAGACTGCAGACTTCCCAGTACCTTCAGATCCGTGTATGGGACATGCCTGGGAGCACGGTGGCACTGTTAAGTCCTGGCAGGTGGCCTCAGGTTCTGGTGGGACGTGCAAGGCTGTAGCTCTGGTTTTGGCCTTGCATGCTGCTTTTGAAGGCTAACACTCTTGTGGTATTTGCTGTCCATCTTACTCTCCCATCCCAGCTTTTACGCTCTCCCCTCCTTTTCTTGCTGCAATGCTTACATCGCCATTCCACCTTCCCTTCCGCTGACTGTTCTGCCTGCTCTCCTACCAGGACACGCTGTGGTCTCCCCCGCTTGACACTCAGTTTTTGCACTTTCTGCCCTTCTGTACTTGCCCACAGGTGCTGCTGCTGTTTGGCCGTGCTCGCCACAACCCCAGCTCCTGGTTTTTCCACAGAACATGGGGAACAAGACTTCCTTGGCTCTGCATTCCCATCCTTACGCTTTAGGTCAGCTCTTGGGGTGTTCTCCCTGCTCCAAGCTACCCTTTCTGAGGATGAGGCCCAGGGAATCCCAGAGGTGGTTTGGCTCTCCCTGCACGACCCCACAGCACCAGGAGGCAGCATTGCCTGTGTCCAGTGCCATTCAAGGCTCACCAGTCACCCCTCCCTTTTGGGTGACTTCATCAAGTGTTTGCTTTGCAAAGAGTGGCTGGGCCTCCAGCCACCTCTAACTAACCCCCCCTTACCTTCTACCTTCCTCTTGCACTTTGAGCCGGCGCGGCACTGGGTTGAACAGTTTCCTGAGCCTCCCCCTCTGCTCTTTGCACTGTTCTTCCAAGACACCTTGTTCTCCCTCTCTCGGCCTCTTCCATGGCTTTCCCATCCTTTCCAGCTTAGGTTTCTGAGCCGTGATACCCACTGTATCAACTTCTCTGGTCCCTTGGCCTCACCTCTTTCAGACAAGACCCTCCTGCCCCCCTCACCTGCAGAGAAGCAAGAAACAGCCATTTTTCTATGCCACAGCATCCTGAATGTGTCTGTTTGTAGTATATGTCCTGAATGTGTCTGTTCTGTCTCTGGGAAACACCTGCTTAGGTCTCCTTTGAGCTGTGAATTGCCCGTGCAAAGCCCGTGGAAGTGACTGCCCTGGGCCCCCAGCTCTCCCTGTCGCAACGGCTGCAGGCTGTCGTGTGGTCTGTCTCGCAGGTTGATTGTGTCAGTTTGTGCAGTGACACCAGCGCAGCTACAGAGGAGAAAGTGCAGATGGCCTTCGCCCAGGCCCAGCGGTACCACCCCTGTGTGCTCCTGCTAGACATCGAGTTGCTCGGCAGAGACCGGGACAGGCTGGGGGAGGACGCCAGGGTCATCACCACGCTGAGGCAGCTGCTCCTGGACGCAGACCCAGCACGAAGGTATGGACCCTGCACGTTTGCTGTGGGCATCTGAGGTGATTGTTTGCTTCTGCCGTTCCTAGGGCGGCAGTCGCCGTTACGTCAAGGTAACTGATTGCTAACATGGTTTATTTTTAATCCGGTGGAGTCTCTCCCAGACTTGCTTTGTTTACATCAAAAAGCCTTCCTTCTTCCAGCTTGGTGGCAGAGGGAATCGGGAATCTTTTGTTGCCTGAAGCTGGTTTCTGAGCTATTCAGATGAGCAAACCTGGCGTGTTGGCTGTGAGGCATGCCAAGGTTCACAGGGACCCCGGAAGGGAGCGCGACCTCGGGAGAATCCCAAGGCTGGTGACGAGGACCAGGGTGCAGGGAGGGAGACCTCAAGTGAAGAAGTGAGGTGTCACTTGCAGGACCTTGGCTTGGAGACAGAGCTCACAAAGCAGTTCATGGCAAACTGGAGGAGACTGGCTGCAAGACACCTTGGCCAGTTTGTGCACGTTTCTCAGAGGAAAGGCTAGCTTGGCGTGGGTGATGGCAGCATAAGAGGGAAGCTTCCACAGAGCTGAGACTGTCTCCCTTTTCTTAGCAGCCACCCTGTCCTGGTGATCGGCACAACCTGCAAGCCTCAGGATGTCCCTACGGACGTGCAGACTGCTTTCCTTCACGAGGTGAAAATTGAAGCCCCTTCAGAAGAGCAGAGGAGGTCGATGCTGAGCATGCTGACTGCCGGGCTGCCTCTGGGCAAAGAAGTGAGCCTATCCAAGCTGGCCCGCAGGACTGCAGTGAGTGAAACAGTGGCAGCACGCGGACATGGGCAAGCCAGGAGTGCTGGACCAACCTCCCCTACCTGGCCACGGAGAAAGGGGGCAATTCCACTGCCCAGTCAACTTCAGGGGTTAACCTCAAACATCAGCTTTAGCTGCAGATTTCTATTGCCTAAGGACTGCACACCTTTTGCAGAGATGTTGGCTGATGCTCTGCTCTGCTAGAAGACAGGGCCAGTAGAAAAAAAAAAAAGCAGCCACAGCCTTTAACCAGGGCGCAGAAGCTCAAAGAACAGCTCTGCCAGGAGTTTTTCCCCATACACCTTTCAGGGGCTAGCTGGAGCTGTGGTCAGGGACTGAACTGATGATCTTTGTTTCCGCATTCGCAGGGTTTTGTGCTGGGAGATTTCTGTGCCTTGTTGTCCCACAGCAGCCGGGCTGCTTGTACCCGCATCCAGGCCTTGAGGTAGCCCAGGCAATAGGGCAGGAGATGGGGACGGGGCAGGGGCTGCAGCCAGCCCGACACTGCCAGCAGCGGGCAGAGCCTGAGTCCTTCCCTTCTCTTCCCTCGCCAGTTTTCCAGGCGGACTGAGCGAGGAAGTGGAGAGAGACTTTTGCACCGCGGGGTTCCCAGTGCTGGAGGAGGATTTTGGTGTTGCGCTGGAGCAGCTGCAGAGTGCCCATTCGCGGGCTGTGGGAGCCCCAAAGGTAAGGTGCCGGGGCAGGGGTGGGGGAGGTTCTCTGGAGCCGTACGGCTCACAATACCTCTGGCAGACCTCAACAGACAGGGCTGTGCTCTGGAGCATCACTTCCTGCTGTGTCCTTCCACGGAATTCCCCCAGCCTTGGGTGGGAAACAGTCCTACTGTGGGCTTTTCACCCTTTTGGCTTTGAATTCGGTCAGGGAAGCCCTTGCTGCTTTGACTGGAGACAGCTCCACTGGCGTACGGATGTCAGCCGCGTGGCACAGCCTTCCTAGCGGCAAAGGCAACTGCAGGCCGGATCCTCTGGGTGTCTGCAGCCACTTGGCTTAAGGGAACAGGCTGGGGCATAAGCTGGGGAGGGACTTACCCACGTGTGTGAGAGGCCTCATACTTGATCCCTGGCCTTGGACACTGCTCGAGCTGGCACAGGCTTTCCTGACAGGCGGGCAGCTTGAAGAGCTGGGGGTCCTTCAGGGAAAGGGGGTGTCAGGGTAAACCAGCAGAGTCAGCTGCTCGGGTGGGGTGTGATCTGCCCGTGGCAGCTTGGCACCCAGGGCAAGAGCAGTTGGAGTGACTGTTTTTGCCGGGTGACGTGGTGTTAGGACCAAGGGAAGTGATGGGAGCCGCTTCTCCACGCCCTGAGCGCGAATGAATGAGTTTGGCACAGGACAGGAAGTGCTGGCCTTGGAGCAGTTATTCCGGCGCCTTCCCCAGCTGCCCCGCTTGCAGCCCTGCTCTAACAGGATGGCACCTTGTTGGTGTCATCCTCCGGGAGCCGCTCCGGGACTTCATTCATTCATAAATACACCAGGGGCTGACATGAGCTCTGCTCTGGGACGTGCTTGCCAAGGCCGCTGTAAGGCAAATAATAACTACAGAGCTTGGCAGTGAGCTGCGTGAGCTGCGGGAGCTGATTTTGTTGGCGTTTTACAGTCCTTTATCAATTTCTTAGTCGCTGGCTGTGGTTCAGAAAGCCCATTACCAGACCTGGATACTGTCAACATATGTGACTTCCGATTCCCTGCTTGCATTTTCCAGTCACACGTCTGTTTGCAGTTACAGCTTGAGCCTCCTAGAGAGCTGATTTCAAACCTCAGTCGAGCTGATTTCAAACCTCAGTCGCTAGCAGTGCCTGCAGCGTCTCCTGGGCTTCTCCCCTGAAAACAACCTTGCTGCAGCTTTCCAGCTCCCATGCTGGTGTCTGTGGAGCTTTTCCTAGTGAGGCAGTGTAAGCAAGGGTGCAGGGGAGAGGGCAACTCTTCCATTCATCGGCGCTGAAGGAGGAGGGCCTGTGACCTTCTGCCATAAAAGACCTTTTTTTTCTGGGAATCCTTATCTCGTCTGACCTGATTTTCCTGGTGGACTTGCTGGACAGCTGGAGAAATAGCATGAGATAACATCATCTCAAGTAGCAAGGGAAGGAGAACCGAATTGGCTGAAGGGGCAAGAATTTTGCTCTGGCCTATTTTTAATCTCCCTGTTTGTTGGCACCTGTTCCCCACCCAGCCAGCAGCTGGGGGGAAGTGTTCTGGGGCTTTGCTTTCTCTGCACATTCCCAGGAGAGCTGCTCCGACTCTCCGGAGGATCTGTCACACAGGCT